CAACATAGAAGTAGTTGTACAGATCTTTTGTAACTATAACTAAAACAATTGGGCTTAGCTTTGCCCTCTTATAGAACTTATGCTTAACTCCTATATAAACGCCTCTATAGGTGTATCCCCCTTCTTTCTCTACTATAATTACTATAATACTCTATTTCCCTAAAAATAAGCTCTCTTAGATAACTAAGAAGCGAGCGTAGTAGCTAAAGAGATAGTACTTACAATTAGTAATGCGTAAAACTAGGTAGTTTTAGTAATGTTATACGCCTAATAAGAGTAAAAGAAGTAGGTAAATAAACCTCGCAAACTATCGCCTACTTATAAAGTAGGAGACTAGGTCTAGCTAAAATTACGTAATATATGAATAGCCTAAATAAGCAAAAAGCTAAACTAAAAAAGTAGAAAGTACTAAGTCGCCTGCGTATAGGACCCCTACTAGGTAGAACTTGTGGTGCCTAAGGAGATAAAATCCTTTTACGTAGACAAGCTAAGGCTAGTATCTAACGACCTCTTACTATTATAATAAATAGACAATAGTAGCCCTGCAGCTATTGTTGTACGAGAAGATAGAGAAGAAGAAGAAGACTATTTAGAATAGCTTGTGCAAGGTATCACAGACGAACGAATACAAAACAGAGAACTGCAATATCTTGTTATTTAGATAGGCTACCTAGAGGGAAGTTAGGAACTAGCTATAGCACTTAAAGACACAAAGGCCCTAGACGAATAGCTTGCCTAAACTTCCTCTATAAAAAAACCTAACAGCTAGCTATAAAATAGCTAGAGGCGAAAGCTACTTAATAAGTAATAGAGACTTAGCGCTACCCCTAGAGGCTAAACGATCCCTCTAGGTGCCTAGAAGACAACGCTTAGCTAGCGTACGGACAGACGAACTGTCCCCTCCTCCTGCCAAACAACAGGCGCTATAGTCCTGCTAGATGCAATTGCTATACGCACCCCCTCACTCTCTATAGATAGAGACATAACTAGCAAAGGCTATAAACTCCTTCGCCCTATCTAAGACTAGCGCATATTTATTATAAAATATAGCATTAAGGGCGCCACGCGAATAGATAAGGAAGGCCTTAAGGTATAAGGGTTGGCCACCTAAGATTTAATGGGCACAGAGCGTCGTACAGGCGACAATAGGCGAATAACCGCTAAGGCTAGGACTAAAGGTAGCATTATAGGGCGACAGCCCCCTTAGATAGTAGAACATATTAAAGACCTAGCAAAGCTTAGGCTATACTAGTTAGCTAATTTAGACGTATAACAAGGAAGTAATACTTATAAGAGTAGTAGCAAATACTTAGTAAATCTCTTTAGCAACCTACACGTTAAAAATATACTAGACCTAGTAGTTATTAAGGTTAACCTATCTGATAATAATAGGCGCTATAGCCTAAATGGCACCTAGCGTTATATAAGTAAGCAACTAATAAGCAATATTAAAGATCTAAGTATTTGCCTGCTTAATAGTGTTATTAACTCTACTATTTGTGCAGAAACGTAAGGCGTTAACCTAGCTATTAGCCTATATCCTACAATTAGCTATTGTATAGGAAGACTTAAGAAAGTAACTATAATAAGAGAAAGGTTAAAGCTAAAGGGATAGAGGAAATAAGTAGTAGGTAGAGAAAGAAGAGTATCTATGCTCACTAGACAGCGTTTGCTATATAGCACTATTGCCTAACTCTCTCTTACCTTTACTATTTACCTTTACCTTAACTATACGAGACGCCAAACATGTAATAGCAAATAGACAGAGAGAAAGGAAAAGAAGACTAAAGAATACGCACGTGATATTAGATAAGGTGAAGGAGGGGAGTATTGTAAAGGGCTACGCGAGAGAGGTATGACCTATAGGTTACATAGTAGTAAATTACATAACTTTAGTTATATAACTAAATAACGTAGTTAGCTACGTATAAATAAGCTTAAGTAAAAAAGAAGCCTAAAGGTCTAAGCGTTTGTACTAGTAATAACTATAAAAGGAGGGCCCTCTAGATAGTTCTTTTCTATATCTTTCTTCTTCTATACAATAGGTGAATGCATACTCGTTAGTTAGGCCTCTCTCGCCTATAACAGTAGTATAACTATTAGCTTTCTGAATTTTGGCTCTTACGTTTTAGGTAATTAAATTTTAAGTTATATAGTAGTAATAGGTTGTAATAGTAGTAGGGTAGTAGTAGTAGTTAACCTATATAAGCTTCTTTCTAACGTATAAAATCTTACTCCCTTTGTAATATATCTTTTCTACTACTTATACTGTTAACTTAAAAGCCTTATTACATTAGTAAGACTTATAGAGCGTAGATATAGTTATGCTATTATATAGCATAAGTGTATTAGAGAATTTCAGTTAATTCGTGCGCATGTGATATTATTTAGCGTATTAATTACGTTTTATTATAGCTAGCACTTAGAATAGGCTTCTTACGCCTATTGTTAGCGCGCAAGATTTTATAAAAACACTAATGATAATCCCTAAATTAATACACAAAAGGCCGCGGATTCTGATAAGTATTCAAAAAATATATTCATATATTTTTATGCTAATAATGTCTATTCTCTTACTATTTCTTCTACTCCCTAGTTTTATACTTGTCTTCTAGCACTATCTAACTACCTTTTAGCTACTAGGATATACCTCTCGTTGCTCTAATATAGTATATAAGATATTGTAATTATATTTACTAGTATAAATGTGGTATTCAAATTTGTGAATCTTTATTAGAAGTAACACTGTTTCCCTTTTATAATCTTCTTGAAAGCTTATACATACTTTATACTTAAGTATATTTATATATTATAGAACTTAACTTTCTTTTTATCTAATATCTGTATAACCTAACTTCACTCTTACTTATACTATGTATAGTTTACTTAACTTTACATTTGCTTATAGTTTATATAACTTAACTTTACTTTTACTTTAAGTATATATAATTTAACTCTATTTATTTTTATATCTATATAACTTTACCTCACTTGATACCTATAATAGGAACTCTATACCTATTAGCTAGTGTAATTAGATCTCTATTTTTTCTAAGAGGTTTTTTGGCTCTTACTCCTTTCATACTATATATTGTGTATAATAGATATATATTAATAACGTGTATTTTTATCTAGTAAACTACACGCTAATTCTCACCATTTTAATAGGTATACTTTATTTTTCCTAACCTAGATCTTTTGACTCACTTTCTTACTAGCTGTGGGGTACGTTATATCAGTGTGGAGTCAAGATCATAACCTATCTCCTTGCATCAATCATATAGAAATGCCTCGCATGCAGCTAACAAAGCCTCTATGTATAATATAGAATGCTCGGCATATTATACTAGTGTAGATCCAGGCGAAAATGGTACCATTCCATGGCTAAACCTACACTCAGTTGACTGAGTGCTACTACTGGGGACGGTGATAGAGACTAGATAGAGTATGTTTACTGTGCGCATAGTCTGAGAAGAGTTTTCGTTCGATAATTCAGGGTACAGGGTATCCCCAGGCTTGGTAGCCTTGGAAGAAGGATAGTCTCGTGGCTCGGCAATGTTGTCTTAGCGTTCGGTGATATAGCAAGGAGGTGGATAGACGTGCAGCTGGCCTAGTGCTGCAACCGATCACTACTTGTAACTCTCAGATAGACAGAATATAAATTGAGTGATGATGCAGGACGACAGGGGGATCACGATGGAGAATCATCAAGGCGGGGTTTGTTGTGGAGTGAAGCATCATTGCACCTACGTTGCCAGCTTGGTATAATACGATTTGCAAGATGTAAAAGCTGCAGGAGCATATACCCGGTTGATCGAAGACCAGCTGCAGCTACATGCCAAGACAATTGTACTCAAATCTTTACATACCGATTGGGCCACCGGCATTCGCACAGAACATACTGAGGAGCAAAAGAGTAGTGATGAGAAGCGAAGAAAGATCCGCTTAAAACACTTGATCCGAGACACGATCCGCACCGGCTTGGCTGCTTGTAAACCCTAGTCTACCAAGAAATCTGCTCTTGTTGTGTGCGTTGCTACCTATCACGGCATGTTTCATTTTTCATTACCTTCATTTCTCTCTAGTCCTATAAAGAAGCATCCCAAGTTTGAGAAATACTTTGTTACCTCAACTTGGAGGATGGCTGATATCCTCGAAAAGTGTAGAGTTGACGTAGACAATGTTGTTTTTCTCCTTAGTCGTGTGGCTAGGGGAAGACAAATTGAATACGAAATAGCAGTACTATACAGAGAACACTCTCACTTTAAACAAATTGTACCTAGAACGGCCTCTAGCCAAAGTCTTACATAGTCACTGACTGCAGATAGACTCTAATGGAATAATAATAATAATAATAATAATAAATTGAATACGAAGGGGCTCGTATTCAATACGAGCGGCATTATACCATAGCACATGACTCCTCTCTTCTGGATAGAGATTTTATGAAGTATTGGAGATGATCAATGACATGGGCGGCGAAACCTGTTCGACTCAGTCCCAATGCAAAAAGGTGTTTATTTCAGCGGCAGTTTAGTCTGTGCGAAGGAAAGGACCGATAAATTGTGACTTGGTGGGGAGACACGTGCGCGTCTTTGAAGGTCGAACCGGATTCGACATACTATGCGTGCTTGCATGTAATGCTAAGAAACCGTCTTGTCCCTGTGGCGTAATTGCGGTGCTTACTAGATAGCAAATATTTGCATGCTGCGCCTCACCTTGGAGCACATTTGCATGATGGAGCTTGGGAGACGTCGATTAGGATAAATGGGCCTGTCAGCATGGCATGAGCTTGTTCACACAGTGGCAAAGTTGTGTCAAATGATGCATTTCGATAGCACATGCTAAAGCGCGGTAATACTAAGTAGACAGAATGAGAGGCAACAGGGAACTCGCACACACTGCTTCACTAGCCTAGTGCGGTACAGGAAGTACTTTCTTCCAGGAATGGTCATGTCGGTGCCTGCAGACGGCTGTAGCTATGCACGGGGATATCGTCATTATCCTTGCTGCTGACGAGTGTGAATGTACTGTAGTCGCTCTGATGCCCACATTGGCAAGATTATCGACAGAGGGGCTGGGTGGGTTTCTCCTTGTTGCCAAACATCTGGATCCAGGGTGCGAATTTTGGTACCTTTTGGCCGTTGAAGGCTCTGGTCGTTTGGGATGCCCTCATCTTCCAGTCTCTTGATGGCGCGAAGTTGGTCAGGATTGGCTGCTTCACGCAGCACAGCCCAAAATTCAGCGTCGGACATTTGCCACAACATGTTATCATTCACGGCCCCTGCCTCGACCAATTCGCCTATGATGCGGCCCGTTCGCTCAGACATGTCGACAATGGCCGGGCTGGACAAGACGTCTCTGTCGGTAGTGATGTATGCACGAGCAAGAATGAGTGCTACATGTGGATCCTTTAGCACCAGTAGACGGCGAGGTGCTGTAGGAGTGGGGAAGACCGCAAGTGAGCCGAATATCCTTTTGGCGTCTTCCATGGCAAGATTGCCGAAGCTGAGGGAGTCTCGTAGAGCATAGTCTAGGCGATCGGCACATAGTTGAGGCGACGGCATCTCTACCAAGGGAAAGAGATCTTCATCAAAGACCTTGTGGTCGATGTGATGCCTGCTGAGGAGGTCGGGTAAGTCTGTCATGCCAAGATAGCGGGCCTTGTGTATCTCGTGATAGCTTTCTTCGCCAAGCTTGGAGAGGGCATAATCGACGTCATGACTGAGGACAGTATGAGAGATGTCATGGAGAAGAGCAGCGACTTGTTCTTCAAGTGTAGCACCCACTCTCCGCACGAGTATGAATGCACCGACCGAATGCTCGAGGCGCGTGACTCGCGGTGTCAGGCCCAAGAATGAAGTAATTCCATACTGGCAGATACCTTGCAGTCGCTGCACCTCCGGGCTCCGAAGAAGCTCTACTAGAACTGGCTCATGGACTCGTTCCTCTCCGTATATGTCATCCACGATTAAGATGGTACCGCCTTCGGAGAGTAAGTGTGTCTGGTAGACTCCAACTCTAGTGGGAGATGGCATCTCTGCAGGACTCATGTGTGTTGGCAGAAGCAGGCGAGGAAGGATGATTGGAATATTGTATGTGCACGGCAAGGGCCGGTGCGTAGAATAGATTGAGAAATGGTAGATTCTATCGAGTTGGATGCCTCATGGGGGTCGGCAGTGCTACGAGTGAATATCTATTCTACGGCCCAACACGGGCTTTTTATATATGCATGCATTGATACGGCTTACGATCTTGGGTCTGGCCTGTTGCGCCCGGACCCAATGTGATATCGACCGAGCTGGCCGTGGGACAAAGAGCATGAGCGGTAAAAATCAATTGCAGCTATTTGCAATGCCAGACATGGTCCGAATACTCGAGTTTGTAGTGATATGAATACGCATATGAGAGGACGGTCTAGGATGTTTATGGAATGGGTAGCTAGGCACTACAGCAGCATATAACGTTATGCTGTAAGCGGGGGTCTAAGTTGTTTGGAGTATGACCAATGCGTTGTCTATGCTAAACGCTGATTTGCTATATGCAGTCGATAGAGTTTTCCGACATGCATCAGTGAAGCATGCCAGAGGACTGTGGGGCTAGAGTAGGTTCTGCCCAATAAGATAGGTACATAGTATAGGTCCTGCAGGCACTGACGGACCGATGACTTGCCCTGGTCCAGATGCTCGTCGGCAATTCCGCTGCATCATACTCGTCAACCCTGAATATGGAGCTATGCAGGCCTCTTCGGCTTGCCTGTTGAACGATGGGGCTAAAGCCTATTGGGGAATCCGCATACGTGAGTGAGGCAAAAGCATTGCATCAGAAGACCCTCGTACCATGAGCAACATAGTTTATGATCAGCAAAAGAAAAGCGCCTTTAGGTATGACCATGTCGGCTTGACTATGCAGACTCGACAAGGACCGATTCTGAAGGCATGTGGACATGTAGAAACTCTACTTTGTATATATAAGGCACTGTGCTCCGTTGGAGGAACAGATAGTCATCAACAGCCATACGAAGCTTGCTGTTTCACTGTCAAGATGTCCCGTTGCAGTGCGGCTACGTGTCTTGCACCCATCTTTGCCTATCATGTCCGAGTCAGCCTATACCATTATCCTGCACGGCAACGACGCAACAGGCAAGTCTACTCTGGTGCCTGCCCTCAGGGCGGCGGGTCAGGTAGTGTATGCACGTGGGGACGAGGATGCTACACTGGAAGAAAGCCTTGTTGTTCGAAGCTTCGACAAACTCACACTACAGCTTGCCGACGACGAGCGGGCTCCGCTGCCCACACGGTACACAGACAAAGATGGGGTTGAGCGTAGGATCGTGCGGGTTGTTCTTGATGCTGATCTGGCCGTCCTTCAGGGGCGGCTCGACAAACGGCCCAGCACTGACAAGTGGGAGTCTGAAAAATCCCTCTTCTACTTTCGTGCGCGGTTCCTGGTAGGTGCCTGGCCATGGAGCAGTGCTATGAGACGATTCTGACGGGGCATTAGGAGCTAGCCGCCTTCTATGGGCTGCCCGTGGTGGACACGGGCAAGAAGGGCGTCGAGGAGAGCGTGGCGGAGATTATTGGCCTCGCACGCAATCCCCAGGTGCTCGCGCTCTTCGCCAGGCTTGCCCTGCGCACACTGACTCTGGACGACGTGGCTGCCCTGGCCAACCGCCGCGCAGTGGTTGCGGGCGTCGCCTACGCGAAGCGGCTCGAGGAGATTATTGCGCTCGAGTGCGGCGCAACGTCCATGTTCACGCCCGACGACGTGCGCAGCCAGTGCGCGCGCGACCCCGGGCTGGTGCATGCGCTCGTCAACCAGTACGACAATGTGCACGAGGACGGCGCGGCGGTGCGGCTGCGGCTGGTGGTCGAGGGCGAGTCGAAGCAGATCTACAAGGTGGAGACGGGGCTGACGGGGTACTTTGACGCGCAGGTGCTCGTGGTGCTCAAGCCGACCATCTACTCGCACAGCAAGCAGGCGACGGCCGAGATTGCCGGGCTCAGCGCCATCCGCGCGGCGGGCTCGCGCCTGTTCCTCGAGATGCTGCACCGCGCCGGCGTGCGGCACACGTACCGCGGGCTCAACGCCCACGGGCTCATCTGGGCGCAGAGCACCGACATCACGCAGATCGAGACGGTGTACAAGGAGCAGTGCCTGGGCACCGACAAGCACTCGTTCTTCGGCATGGTCGCGCACGCGGGCGTGACGCTGGCGACGGGCCAGTACCGGCGGGGGCCGTATGTGCGCTTCGACTGGCGCAACCCCAACCACACGTACAAGGGCGCCAACCCCGCGACGCATCCCTTCTACCACGCCATGGAGGCGTCGGTGGGCAAGGACGTCTTCTACGACGAGTTCCTGACGGCGCGCGCCAGGCCGTTTGGGGACAAGTGCGTGCCCGAGGAGCTGGTGCACGGGGTGCAGGACGTCGAGGCGTCGGTCGAGGCGACGGTGCGCATCTTCTTCACCATGCAGCACTACCTGCACCAGATCGGGCTCGAGGTGCAGGACGGGTGCATCATGCTCGACCCCACGGGGCAGACCATGTGGTCCGAGATCAACCAGGACTGCATGCGCATCAAGCAGCGCGAGGCGGCGCGCGGCGCGCACGACGTCTTCGACAAGGACATCTGGCGCGCGGGCGGCAGCGCCGTCAAGGGCAACATTGTCGACAAGTGGACGCAGCTGAACCAGCGGCTGCGCGCGCACCTGGCCGCCCGCCCGTTCCACGAGCACGAGATGGTGGCGGCGCGCACGCGCAGCACGTGCTGGCCGACGAGGCGCTGGTGCTGACGCCGCGCTACCGCGCCCTGTACGAGCGCCTTGCCGCCGCCGACCGGTCGCGGGTCCGGTCCGCGCCGGCCGACGTGGGCGAGCCCGAGCGGCTGCTGGCGCTGATGGAGGCGCACCTGTGGCAGCTCACCGCCGCCGTGCCGCCCCACGACGCGTCGCCCGAGGCGCGCACCATGGCCCAGCTCGCCAACACGTACGCGCGCAAGGCCGGCCTGACGTCGTGTCGCTGCCCCAGCCCGACATCTCGCTCGCCCTCATCGCCCGCCGCGGCCAGCAAATCGATCCCCACGCCTGGACCCCCGCCAAGCCTGCCCGCATCGCCGCCGAGCACCCGCGCCTGGTGCGCACCTATCTGGCCAGCATTGGCGTCGCCCAGGACACATACAAGATCCAGCGCGTGCTCGGCGCCTCCGAGTCCTATCTCGTCAACGACCCATGCGGCGGCTATCTTCTCTGCGATGCCATTGTCATCTCGGGCGCCACCCTCGAAGCAAACGGCCTCGACGTCTGGCGTGTCATCAAAAGCAAGGGCGATGTCGCCCTCGGCCTCTATCAGCGATGGTAGTCTTCTTGCCATTCCCCTAGTAGAATGATTACTAGAACGGCAAAGCATCCCTGTTGCTACCAACATGATGATTCGAGTAGTCTCGAAGAAGAAAAATATAGAAACATCTCTTGCTCTCTCTATCTACACCGCTGATGTGCCTTATCGTTACGCCCATATTAACCTCCTAGACCCTTGCAGATATCCGCTTTTCTAGCCCCACAGTCTTACTCTCCAACTATAATAGCGATCCACACGCTGAGCATGCACATGTACAGTACCATGTCAGGTAGTCGCGTCGTCACGTGACCTCGCGTGTCGGACCCACTCGATTGTGAACATGCTCCTCCTATCCCATCGACGCGCTTACTCCGCCTGAGTGCAGTGCTGTTCGGTTGCTTTGATTGCCTACAACCTCCTCCCCTTTGCTTCACCGACTGTAAAGCCCTAGACAAGCCTTCGCACCCCAAGCTAGCCCAGTCGCATCAGCATACATACACGCAAGCTTGGTACGTACACCTAGTGCACGTGGCGTGGGTCCCACTCCACGTCACCCCCAACTTGGCTTAGTTCCAGGGTTTCTCTGCCCACATCGCATGTCCTCCCATGTCCGTGCACTCAAGACCCTGGTCCAATCATGCAACGATTCTCAGACCATCCCTCTATCCTTGAACTCGTCACGACTCATCAACAAGCACTCGAATCAACTGTGCATCGCACAAAATAGTGCCTGATAAAAGGCGAATATATACTACAACTATACAGACTATGGGGCAAATCGAATGGTAATGTATCGCAGAGAAAAGCAACCAATTCTCTCACCTGTGAGGCTGAGACTGGCTGCAACTAGGGAATGATGCTAAACTACTACAGAATAGCAACACAAACATACGTATCGAGCCACAGTGACTGGCAGCTCGAGCCCACTCCAGTGTTCCAGCGATAGAAGTTAGCCAGCGAGATGCCCGCTGCTTGTGCAATCGAAGCGCACGTGTCCCCACTCCGGACAAAGCGGAAGCTCTTGCAGCTATTCGTCATGCCATTTTGAATCGGCGTCGGCGTCGCTACTCCGTTTCCCGTCTTGGTCGTCGTGGGCACCACCGACGTCTTCATCGTTGTAGTGACAGGGTTCACTCCCACGATGCTCACGCACACGTACGTGTCGAGCCAGAGCGACGAGCAGCTGGACCCTACCGCCGGGTTCCACTTGTAGAACTGAGACAAGCTGATGCCATAGCGCTGCACAATGTTGGCGCACACATCGCCGCTCTTGACCAGGTGGAAGGCGTCGCAGTTGTTCACCATGCCCGGCTGGATGGGCGTCGGCGTTGCAATGCCATTGGTAGGAGTCGGCTTCACCGTGGTGCTGGGAGGAGCAGTCGTCGTCGCGGGGCTGTGTCCAATAATAGACACACAGACATAGACGTCGAGCCAGAGTCCTCCACAGTCGGTGCCAACATTGGGGTTCCATGGGTAGAATTGGGAAAGGCTAATCGCGTTCTTCTGTGCAATCGTAGCACAGTAATCTCCCTCCTTGACAAAGTAAAAGGCATCGCAGTTGTTGACCATGCCAGGCTGGATGGGCGTAGGAGTCTGAATGCCGTTGATGGGAGTTGGGACAGTCGAGGATGCCTTGGTGGAAGAAGATGGAGTGGTTGGCGTCCATCCAGGTACGCTGGTGCAGACCTGACACACTTGTAAGCCCACAGCCCCTGCAAATCAACTAACAAATATTCGACTTACATAGACACCGCCCCAGAGCGTCTGGCATTGGTCACCGATACCAGTGTTCCACTTCTTCAAATCACTCAGCGTCAGGCCAGGATACTTTTTGATAAAGGTGTTGCAATCCTCGCCCGCGTTCACAAAGTCCCACCGATTACAATTCTCAACTGTGCCCGGCTGTGTAGGACCTGGCGCTCCAGAGTTGGTGGGCGTAGGGGTAGAAGAGCTAGGAACCACAGTGCTCGAGGCAGGGACCGGCTCGGGCTCGTTGAAAGCTTCGACGCAGTATGACTTTCCAGTCTCAAAGTTGCCGCATGATGCAGTGATGGACGGATTCTAAAGCAAAGGTAAGCAATCGTCCTCCATTGTGAAGGGGCCTTCGTAATGCCCAAAACTTACCCATCGCCTAAAGTCTGCTAGCGATATGGCCCACGTAGCAGGCATGTCGGTACAGGCCACCGAACCATCGTTCTCAAACCACCAAGTGCAGTACTTGGTTGTGTTCGGGTCGTACGGAAGAAGAGGCTCCTCGTCTCTCTTCGACGTCGAAGCCAAAGACGAGCTTAACAAAGTAGATGCAAAAGTCGCAAAAAGGAGTGTGTTGGCCAACATGGTGAAAAAGCGAAGGACTGGATAGGCTGGCCTTCAGTGAAGACGGCGTCGAAGGGTATTGATATAGCTTTTTGGTGAACGGCTTTGTCTGAACGCCTTATTCCATTGTTCTCGTCTCTCTGCTGGGCTTTCCAGATGAGAAGTCTATCCGGTCAGCCCATTTTCATCAGGCGTCACATGTGCCGCGCAGTTTTTCTCGTATGTTGCCATCTATAGACTGGCTCATTTCGCAGTGAACTATCGTTCGGGTTTTGCGGTCCTGCATGCACTGCCCTGCAGAGCACTTGGCCCGCGGAAGGCCTAAAGTCGATCCTTCCATGGGGATGCTGCAAGTCTAAGAAGGGATGGTGTTGTCTAATCCGCCAATCAACTGTTGGTAACAAAAGTGCCCCACTGTGTACGGAACCCGAGTCGTCGTAATCAATCGAGCGTAAAGAAACGAATGCTGTTGCCAAGACACACCCTTCCCTATATGGATCGAGGCGCCCAGCCTTCTCCATTATTTTCCAATTCCTACATATCAATCGGTTTCTTGGCGGCACATAGTCATTTCGTGTCTGCGGCTATTTCATCACCCAATTTCACGGCCTAGCACACCCTCCACTTTACCTTCACTCAATCCACCAAAATGGAGACTACGCACGGGCTTGACGACATATTTGGCTACATGCCTTTTGATCATTTCCTCGTGGTACGCCTGACCGGTTCCGAGGAGCCTTATTACTACCCTAGGTGGGTGCAGCTGACATGATTCAAAGGACAAATGGGATCCAGAATCGTCTCTAGACCAGAAAGCGCAAGAAGAGAGGCTGGTGAAAACATGGATTAGCCTTGGCAGACATGGTCGTTCTGTAGGATCTCTCGTCTTAATTTCCGGGTACCTTGCATCTCACCACACTAACGTACTTTTTCACTAGACCTACATCGAGCGGTGCAGGCAACATGGCCAGGTGCCTGTCCCTAGACATATTCCCACGGATCTATCGGTATTCGAGAAGCGCAAAACAGTGGACCCGGATGAATGGAGTGATGCCGGTGCCATCTGGATTCGCACATGGTATGGCAGCGAAACGGAGGAGAAAGACCGGCTCAAGGAGGAGACGGTCACTCGCGCAGATGCCGACGCTGCGTATGCCCGTTTATGGCAGAAAGCCCTGTGGCCCCTGGAAAATGGCGGATTCGATGATGGCATGTTCGGCCCGTATGTATTTGACGATAATGTCGCCGCCTACGCCGTTCCAGCACGAGATGCAGACGATGAAGTGGAGCTAATGGACGGAGTACCCTCTTTCATCTTGGGCGCTCTGGTCCGGTGCCCCGACGCCATGGAAGGCAGCAGCGGGCGCGACGCTGAAGACGAAGAGGAACTAACATGGTCACAAGCGTTGCTCGTAGTAATCGCTGACCGCGAGGCATGTGAGGATGGCTGGGTATTGCTGATAGCTATCAATCACAGAGGCCAAGTATTACACAAGCGTGTCAGGTGCAAGGCTTCTGATGTTGGACGGAATGTGGCCTTTTGGAGGGATGGGGGTGAGCCGCTGGACATTGAGAATCAGAGAGAGAATGTCATGGACTACCGAGATCTCAATCAATCAGGCAATGGCTGGGATGACGGATGAACACCGACAGCTGTATAGTATAGTGTAATATCTCAGGCTGTACGAAGATTACTCATCCTCTCATTGAGTATGTAAATTAGAAGTGGATGAGAGAAGCTTTGGCTGTATTGAAGGATGATGACTATCGGGCTATGACAAAATTGTATTACAGTGAATTCTCACCACTATGACACTGTATTGACCGATTTACGGTGATACCACGCCATTTAACCTTGCTTTACAACGTACTCTTCTCAATGTCCGTGGCGTTTGGAGAAGCCTGTCATATGGCGTTTGAAATGACGCTGGTGATCGCGACGCCCAGCCGTTCTTTGTGTGTCATTATTCTCGCCATCATCGCCCCGAGAACTGATTCCGATTTGTATGTCGACACTTTCCCCATCTTCCGGAATCTCGATACCTGGTGTAAGTCAGTCAACTACCATCTCTTAGCATCTGCTCTACCAAATCTTGACTTACTCTTGACATTGAAAATCTCATCTCGAGTGGGTTCTTCTCCCCTCTTGATCTTTCTCATCGCAGCGTTGTTGTCGAAGATGACGTTACACCGCGCGATTCTAATAAAATCTCCCCACAACTCATGGTTCCTGGTTTCTCCAGTGGTGCACCAAGCATTATAATCTGCTGAGTACTTTGAGTTCTCCAGGAAGTTGACGGCTGATACTACTCTGCCCATGTCTGTTTGAAATGCAGTGGGAGGATCGCCTTGAGAAGGAGCGCCCCTAAGGTCATGCTCGAAGATGCTGTATGCATTACCTTTGGCATCTCGGTCTGAATCAGAGTCGAACAAATGCATCGTGAACTCCTTGTTGTTGTTCAGCGCCCAGTTCCATGCCGCGTCCTTGTTAGGATTATTGTTCCTGCCAACAGCGCTTGAGCTTCGCCAATCGATGCTCCAAGCTTTCCTGGCTGTCTTTTTATTGCCAGCATTATCTGTCCAGGTGACCTCCTGTGAGATCCCGTTCAGGACCTGGTTCGCATTCCCTTGAATGTCCTGTTGGTACCCGGGCACGCACGCTCTCGCATTACGCTACTCAATATTAGCCCACTACCACCAACGGAGGCTGCTTGGTCGAACTTACGCTTGGATTGCCACCTTCTTCCAACCTTTCATAAAGTTAGCTAAAGGTTAATAATCAGATGGTCAGACTTACGCATTGAACGGAAACTCGTCGCAACTCAACCAATTGGTATTACCGGGACGACCCTCATTCTTCTTAGCCGATCTTGCATAAAAGTTCGACTCGGCAACGCAGCGAGCGTCCCACGGCCCTGTAACCTCTGAATAATCACCGTCCTCATCAACTGAAGCATAAGTGGTTTTCGATTTAGATCCGCAGACGGCTGCCCGATTGGAATCATCTCCAGAACGTCCATGGTGGAAGGTTCCATAAAACGGACCAGAGCCTCCACCCTGGAAATCCTGGAAATAGTTCAGGATGTTGTGGCAGATCCCGAGGAACTCGAAGCCATCTGTATTGATGTCGGGAAAGTATTTGCAGTTGTACATGAATGCAGGGATCGAGTTAGTGCACGGCGAATTAGTGTCAACGTCCATCGGATCATCGTCGTCGTCACTATTCTGACGCTTTTTCGTCTTCTGCCCAGGCGTCCATTGGCAGGCATCACCGTTGCAATTACCTTCCTTGCATGTTCCACCGTCGTTGCAGGTGAAAAGACTCGTCGTATCTTCATCAAGGGGAGTCTTCTCATCTCCTTCGGCTCGTTTGTTCAAGTGTCCTAGGGCGCCACCAGACAGGTCCACGCCTTCCGAGATGTCGTCAAAGAAGGCGTAGCTCGAGTTGTATATGGGCTCAAACTTCTCAGAGTATTCTCCGTCCGAGATGAATGGATTGCGTTTTCCAAGAGCCACTTCGCCGTGGTGCTCGTACAGAATCTTCTGGCGGCCTTCCCCGGGCCAGAGTTGCAGAGGGCGTAGAGCGTAGTCGCCCAACCACTTGAATGTTGCCGCACCACCGATTCCAAAGTTGTAGATATACTTGATGAAAATGTTGTAGGATGCTGCCGGGTTAGCTCCGACCCCAGCGTCTGCTTTTGTTGAGACTTCGAAGCGGAAGGTGTTGTTGACGAAACCTTGAATCTAAATCATGTTAGACGGAAGAAACTGAGAATAGTAAAGTCCATACCTGTGCGCTCACGATGTCACCCTTCACCTTAGGATGATTGACTTTAATTCCAAGGTTGACCATTGGTGTAAGCAAAACTATACTTGTCAGTTTGGGCCAAGCTGCACCTAGCAATAAACTTACTATCGACACCGACGGATGCTTGGACAGAAGCATCAAGAATAGGGGTAAAGTCTGGATGGAAGTTGTGAGCGAAAATCCAATGTATATTATTCACAAACATAACATACCTGTTCCTTGGGACGCCTGTTCTTGGTCTGTGCTGGGTGTTGGGAACTAGGAATCACGGTCAGAAAGTCCTCAAGAAACTCGACTTGCACCTACCTTTTGATAGTCTTTGGCCTCTGGGACCTGTGGAAAATAGGTTTCGTATCGTGGGAATGTGATCTTTGCGCCTGCCCTGATCTGGCCGGCAATTGTTGCCTTTGCTCTCATCTCTCCCAAAAGATCAAGCGTAGGTCCAATTGCAGCGATACCCTTGACGGCAAGACCAGGATAGGCAAGGGTGTCGATGATTTTGATGGGCTCTTTCATACGATACTCGACTTCTGCGTTGCCCGAAACCTCAAGCACCGCTTCTACAACGGGCTCCATCTCTAATCTCAAGTTTAGTGCTGTGAATTCAGATTGGGAAAGATCAGCTTACCAAAATATGTGTAAACTTCATCAACCTTCAGGGGCACAATTGTGCCTTGAGCGTAGTACGCCCATCGGGCGTTCATATCAATCTTGGAATCGAGAATGACATCCAGCCCGGCCTTTAGACGCGTGTTGCCTCTCGCACAAGACGCTCGCTTCCGATACAAGGTCATCTTCTTATGAATGCTCATCGGCAGCTTACCTTCATCGCTTGCTCGCACCGTGCTGAGCTTCTTGAGCCAGTCGACATAAGAGCCCCACCATCTTTTCTCAAGGCTACGCTTGCTAGTGCCTTTGGGGGACTCTTCGCCAGTCATTTCATCCCAGTAAGGAATCAGATTGGTGTAATCTATCCGGATATTGACCGTAGAGTCCTCACGCTTGATCGCCGCGAAGTCATAGTCGAACACAAGTCTGTAAACAGCCGACGAATGGTTTTCAGAAGCCCTTTTGCGCAGATGATGCTCCGTCAGCAGAGACTCCTCAACACGCTCCATCGACACGATACGTGCGAACGGACCAGAGCCGATGTGACGAGGCAGACTGATGATCGTGTCCTTGGCATTTCCATGGAATATTTTATCGCACAAGTCCTCTCGATTGAGACGACAATAGACTAGGTGCGATGACTCCTCGTGTTCGAATGTCCAATCGAGAAGGTTAGGATCTTCGCGCGTCAATGTCGTTCGCTTCTTCAAAGGCTTTCCTGTACCATCGTCCTCATGTACAAACTCAAAATCGCGTGCGAACCTGCTTTGCAACGCCTCCTCGTCTCCATCGAGGAGAACAAAGCCGTATGGATCGTCGCCCACTTCATCGTCGTCGAGGCCATTTGGATCCTTGTTGTTGTTGCCATAGTTGTCCTTGTACTGGTATGCAACATCGCCTCCATTGGGATCCGGGAAAATCTTTTTGAGATCGAAGGGGAGGTCAACATCTCGCGGTGGGTTGCAGCAGAAACGGTGTTGCAAGCCTGAGTTGTATGATCCACATGGGGCTGGATAGCCACCGGGCCGCTCAGGGAGGGTCGCTTTTGCTATGGTGATTTGATCTTTCGAGCACTCAGTGCTCATGCACTGCTGCATGGTATTCATCATGACCATTTCGATCCCATCAACCACTTTTGTCTTCTCGACCACAGGCGCCCAGCTACAATCGGTGTAAATTCCTACAACAAAACATTAGTCGCTTTCCAAGGGATTCTGCTGTGGCGCAGCATTGAGACAACTCTTACCAGCGATCGGGCAACAGAAAGACTGTGTTTGTCCTTTAGGACAGGCCTTGCCGCCTCCTTCGTTACCACGGAATGTAAGATAACCCCCAGTAGGGCACTTCTTCTCCTCCTGACATTCGGTCCAGGAACACTTTTGAAGCTCGGGAGCAGAGTCGCAGCAGAGTGATCTTGCTCCGCTGGCGCAAACAGCTCCTCCTGTCGAGGCCATGTAACGATCCGTCACAAGTTCGTATCTCCCAGCTCCGCAAGTTTCCTCTTCGCGCCCCCCATCGCAGTAAATCGAGCTTCTTTCAGGTGCGCCTACCCATTTGCAGTTGATTGCCGGACTCTTTGCTGGGCAGCAGACAGTCTTCCACTGGCCTTTGGGACAGGACTCGACCTCATGTAAGAGGGCCGTCTTGTACACGTTTGTGGGGTTCCCTCCTGGCGAATGGACCTTCTCCACAGCAATATGTCCGGCTTTGCATGTGGCAAATTTGTTATTGCTTCCGGGACCTGAACAGCCCATTGTTACGTAGCAAGAATCGCCCGTCAATCCGCCAAGTTTTTCAGCCAGGGCCTCTCGCTCGGCGTCACCCATGGTACCACCCTCAATCAAAGCGCCTTGTACAAATTCATCGCCGAGGAGGCCGGATAGAGCCTGGAAATCCGGTGTGTCGTGGTCAATAGCCCAGATCATCACGCCGCCGAGACAGTCGTTGTCGAGAATTTCACGCTTCTTTGCGAAGCTTTTCGCGTCATCGTAACCAATCCACTGGTTATCATCATAAACCATGTAGGTGACGCCGTGTTCCTTCACATAATTGATGCTTTTCTCGTTGAATCGGTTCTGGCGAGCCATGATCTCTTTGTAGGTAAGAATTCCGGCTTCGCCTGAGCATTCTCCTTTTTCACCCGCATCACTGAAGACACATCCAGGCTCATTACACTTTGGATCGGAGAGTGTGAAAGACCGACCGTAGAAGCCCATTCCGAGGTTGACTTTTGAGAGATCTACATCGTTGCGCCTGAGAAGATCCAAGCCCATGTTGATCGATGTAGTGTTTGTGTGACCGAAAACATAGGGGCCTGTCCATTCGTTGTACTGGTCCCATTTGCCATAGATGTCATATGTCATGATACTGTATTTGCAGTCAGGACTGTCTTCATTACTAGAGAGCGGTAATCAGACTTACTTGAACCAATCGACTGAATGTTGCATGCTATTCAAGTCGAAATGCTGTAGATACCAGTAGGAAGCAGGGATAGCAATGGAAAGAACATATGATGGATCGGCTTCTTCCAGATGTAGTTTGATAGTCCGAAGCAAGTACACGTAGTTTTCAAAGTCTTCAGGACGGCCGCCACGATCGTCGGCACCACTGTAATGAATTAGCAGGTTTCTGTGGCGAGATGTTGATTCAACTCACGGATATTCCCAATCAAGGTCGATTCCATCGAGACCATATTTTCGTAGAGTTGCAACTATGCTTTCAGCAAATGCTTTACGGGAGCTGGGAGTAGCTGCGGCGTTGGTGAAGGCACTCCTAGTAGGACCTTTGAGATGTCAGCATGTTGCACAGGTATACAGGGGTACCATACGCCTACCTTCATCGTTGAAAGCCCAGCCACCAATGGCTAGGATGACTTGAAGTGCAGGATTGCGCCTTTTCATTTTCACAACTCTAGTCAAAACACCCTCGGCATCAATGGTAACTTGGTGCTTATCATCGATACCCCCAAAAGCAAAATTGATGTGGGTTAAAGCATGGACAGGGATATCGTCTGGTCTGAACGAGTCGCAGGTCCTTGTGTCTGCCCAGGATTCGTAGTATGCGATACGCCGTGTCTGCCAACTTGAAGCGCATTTCTCGCGCACCGGCTGATCGCAGTTACTTTGACAACCCTCGTCATCACCCGAACCTTTTGGGGTACAAAATTCGCTCGTTGTACCGCAGAATCCCCATTTACTGCAACAAACATTCAGTGGGCACTCCTTTCCCTGAGTTTCAGCCCATCTGCCGCATTCTGCTGTAGCATTGCAGGTACCGATGCAAACATCGGGTTTGCAGAATTCGTCACCAAATCCGCAGTTTCCGAGCTTCGAACAGCATCCACTTTTGCAGGGATTGTTTGTGTCACAGGTTGCACCCTGCTGAGGAGTCACAAACGTGACAAGAGAAAAACAAAAGAGCAGGACAAAAACATAGGTCAAAGAATGTGGTGGAGCCATGTGGGCAAGTGGGTGGTTATGCAACCAAAATAATGCAAACGAGTGAAATAGTAGCAAACGAGTGTCTGCACTCTCGACGAGTGCTTCCGCAAGGGCGACAAAAGAGTGACAAAGTTGGAATCAAGTTGGAAATCGAAACAAAAGTTGCTTGCAACAAAAATCAGAAGTGCTGCGTATAACTATCCAAATGTACTGCATGGCCAGACATATCCGTCCCTCCAACATTCATCCTAGCCTAATCCCGGGATCCACAACAATCTCTTTAGGCATACAGAGCGAGGCATGAGCATTAGGCCGCCGGTAGCTGGAAATTTGTCAATACCCTTGTGAGGAGTGTTGAAGAGCCAAATGTGGACAAGCATGCAGGAGGAAATGAGCCAAGCCTGGACCGGACCGGACGGCAAGGTCCACGCATCTGATCAGGTGGATCAAGGCGAGATGTAGGATTCACCTCACAAGGGACGCTGCACGGTCACCTATACAGAGATCCTCACCCGCCAGATGCAGAAAGGTTGATGATTTGCCCGTGGGCTCGGGGGGTCCGGTCCGTATGTCCTGGATACGAGAATGGACGCAGGATCGACACATGTCTTCCAACCAAATTTAGTGAATATTTACCTGAGGCGTGGAAATTTCTCGCGGCCATTCTAGGAAGTTGATGGTCCCTTGAAAACATCAGCACCTGCGCCCTTATTGCCGCCTTGTGCCCGGTAGCTTCACCATTCTGTTCATAGTCTGAGCATAGGTGTCTCCCGCTGAGTTCGCCTATCTCTTAAGTTGCAATCTCCTTGGAATGTACGCAAGTGTGAATAAGTTGCCGAGGCCAGTGATAACTCGTCCGTTCAGGCGTCCGGTTGAAGGTCTGGCCGAATCTAGCAGATGTAAGCGCTTTGAGGCGTCCCAAGTAGAGCGGCATGCCAAGGATGGATGAACTTATAATGACCGAAAATGAGCAGGTTAGGAAATTGTCGTTGCCCATCTCAAGGCGTCCAGAAGGTAGCATATTTGCGGTCCAGGGTTCTCACGTGTGACGCTCTTGGCTCGCCCGCTCATTGGCGCTGTTTATGAAGCGGATTTGCAGCCGCAGAGACGGAGTGGCGTGGGCCGCCTGTTCCTTGGCACTGCACCAATACCAGAGTGGAGTAAATTCTTTACAATACCGACGCTGTATCGTTACGCGTGCGCCGGGCCAACAAACTAACACGCCGCCCACTCCGACATCAACCAGGCAGCGTTCAGTAGCGAAATTGACACGGCTTGAGTATTGCAGCGGCACATTATCGGAATCGGGTCCAACCGTAGCGGGGGGCCCTGCCCTTTGGTAAGTAGCCCAATGCATATCGAGGTCGCCATGTGCACATTCGTCCTTCTTCAACCCGCCGACGTTTCCCCCAGAAGCCAACTGCGCGTGCTGCCACTCTTTTCAGCACCATGGTTACATTCGCTCTTTTTCTGTCTTTTTCCCTTGTTAATGCCATTTCTGTAATTCCAGGAACGGGATACCTACCTGCCTCTGTCAGAGCAGCTTGTCGATCAGCTCTCTCGCAAACTCTAGCAGGATGCTCGGATCTGATCCAGTATCCCGAGGAGTACATTGATGTCTCTTCCTTGAGCGATGTCTGCACAACGCAATGCCGACAGTCCCTCTCTGACATGTACACAAAAGCTGTTTCGGCCTGCGGAACCACAGGTGTTAATGTGACCACGAACACCACATCTCAAATTCTGGTACCTCTGGATCTTGCCGCACAGCTAGTCTTCCAATACAATGTGACCTGCCTCGAAGATGAGTACTACTTTCTTTGCTAGTGTTCGTATTGCTAACGTAATCGATTACGCACGGAAGGGTTCTGCGCCAAAGAGTTCGGTGAACTTAACGAGAACATGCTCTGCTCGGATTGCTACATGCGAAAAGTACAGCTCGAAGTCGACGAACCTCTTGCAGAGGTGAAGAGCTACTCCCCAACCGAGTTTAATGAGTTGAAGCAATCTTGTGGAATCCCGACGTCGTCATACCCAGTCAAGCAACCCGAACCTAGCAGCACGCCGGAACCAGCGTACGTCTCAAGCCACCAAATCCGAAATACTATCTAATGATACACAGGCCTAACTGCACATCTAAACTCACTGGAAAATCAGGTGACACGACCAACATTATCGCAAAAAGCAATTCTGTGTCCACTGACTGGCTTTTGACATTCAACAATCAGTTACCTGCATCTGTCAACGAGACTCTCACAGGTGGTGAAACAATCTGCATGGACAATGTACCCAAATGCATTCTCCGCCAGATCACTTCATCCGACACATGCTCCTCTCTTGTGAAACTTAGCGGTGCGGGTGTGAACCGTGTCATGTTCAGCAGTTGGAATCCTACCGTAGGAAATCGCTGCCGCAACCTGTACGCCATGGTGGGCAAGTACATTTGCGTGTCACCTCCTGGTCAAACCACTCCCTTTGTTCCCATTGACACAACAACCACACCCACAACCTCGGCAGGATCCTCTTACACCTGGTCTCCAGCACCTGACCAAGCAACCAGCTCCTTCAACTTTACCACCATATGGGACTTTCCTACCGAGGCGATCCCAATCGCGACCGCGACACTTACACCTCCGGCTAGCGCATATGCTTCTGCCATCAGGGCACGCACATCACATTGTCCCTTCCTGGGCGAAGATACTGATAAGTGGACTGAGGGATTAGCCGACGACGAATACCACCTACGCTCATCCGATCTAGAACCTGAATGCATCGACGCGTGGGATCCATACTGCTTTCCGGTCACCACTGGGCCTGTTCTGCCCAGCCCAACAGACATTGCCTCAACATGCTATCCGACTATCTCAACAATCATTCCTGAAGGCTTTGTCAAGCCCCCAGCACCCATCAATCTGGGCACTTCCGACAACTGCAATAAATGGCACGTCGTTGGACAGGGTGATACGTGCGCAATTCTCGAGAGCAAATACAAGATCAGCCACGCATCGTTCATGTCATGGAACCCATCTCTTACAGATACTTGCAGCAACCTACGCACAGAAATGGCCTATTGTGTGCGCGTATGGGTAGAGGCCGTCGAAACTCCAGCACCGAGCTCTAGTTCGACGACACGTGTTTCAGTCAGTCCATCGTCCACATCTGCTGGACCTCCAGGCCCTACTCAGTCCGGCACGTTTGCATCATGCACAAAGTGGCATTTGCAGAAGCAAGGTATGCGTCTCCATCTCCCTCCTTGCTTTGTAGCACCGTCCTGTTTATTATCCACAAATTCAAAGATTATGCTAACTATTTTACAGGCGATACATGTGCCTCTATCGCATCTACGTATGGCATCATTGTGAGCCGATTCCGCCAGCTCAACCGGGGTGTGAACACGGATTGCTCGAACCTGGTTACTGGTAACGCTTACTGTGTTGGTTAATATGCCGCGTAGAACGGCATACTGGTCGGAGAGTGAGGAGTAAGTGCGGGTTAAGCAAATCGTTAGGTGGTTGTAATCCAGCCGGGTAAATTGATCCAGAGACATATTCTTTCTTTGAGTCGAAACGAAACTCATCATTGCTTTCAGGAATCCATCGCTTGGGTCAACAATGTACGTGTTGCTCTCATCCTGAAAGATTCCCTATCGAGAGTGCCATAAAGAAAATGCAGAGTGACGCGGATGTAGCCATAGTGTTCGAGTTTCAAATATGAACAGAAGTGAACTTGTAATCTAACTTTTTGCATTTGGATATTTGTTTTATGCGTGATTTCGACGTGCTGACGGCGGGGATTTCTTAACGCAGTAGAGTATACAATAGGAGATAGCAGTGAGCTACCATACCCTTACCTTATACACAGCATGCAGGCATTAACATTCTATATTAATAATTGCCAAGAGTAAAAGCCTTTGTGGCATCACATCAACTCTGTTCTAGGCTAGATACCAAAGCAAATCTGGTATCCAAATGGGGAACAGTAAGATTTCACATGACGGCATTTGCGGTGACTAGAACGGCTTTACGTGGGGGGGATTGACTTTGGAGATTGCTTTTCGTCTGGATACTGTGCAGAAAAATAAGTGAATGCTTGGTTGAATTTCAGGTGTTGTTTGGAATACGTTTCTTCTGCTCCTGCATGATCTCGACATATCTTACTTGCTGAGGCAGTAAGTGTCTACAATAAAAGAGTTCGACGTGTACAGCTACAAGATAAGCAATCATCTTCGTTCAACTGCATGCAATACCTTGCTGGGATATGAATTTTGATAGAAAAAGATGATAAATTTCTAAACTAGCATGATGTCTTAGCTCAATGAATTATGATGTAGAATATCTTAAAGTGTGCCAATATGAGGATGAGATGTCTTCCTTTTACTTTTCGATCAGATTCTTCCCCAACGCCGAAGCACATCTTAAGATTAGAGATAAGTGTTTGCAAAGCCCTTCTGCACACATGCTGAGGTGGGAGGGACGCGGCCTCTGTTCAACAGGCACGAGGGATCGTACTTCTCCTTGATGGAGGTCAAACGGTGAAAGTTCTCTGCGCCCCAGACTTCCGCAGCCTTGCTGTAGGGTGAACTTAGAGGTTCCTGGTTAGTGAAAGAATTATTTGAAGAAATCGGCAGGGTACCTTACATATAATTGGGGTAGTCATAGATGGGAGCACCTCCAAGGCCGTTTTGGAATTCGCGAAGGTACGCCATCATGCCGTCACGGTCGCGGTCATACATGTATTGCGTAGTGTTGTCCGAGCTCCATTCGCCAGAAGTCAACGTGATATGAGCGCTGATTGAGTGTGGCCAGGCGGTCTCGCTGTCATGCTCGGGGCCGCTGCCTGCCCAGCCAGGGAAGACATCTACCACGAAATTAGAATACGGGACAAAGCAATATGGAGAATAATTAGCTGTAACTTACACTCATCGACCCAGAGGGTGTGACCTGGGTCCTCACCACGCTCAAGCATGCCGTAAATGGTCTCCTTGTAAATGGAAAAAGTGTCGCGGTAGAACTGCACTGTAGAATTGGTGTGGCTCTTGCCGAAGAACTCGCGGTGATATCCGTATGGGTAGTTAGTGAGAAGGTATTGATCCAGGTCCTTAAGGTTGACTGCTTGCAGCTGCACGGTGTCGGCACTGGGGTAAAATTTGCCAAAGCTGGCGTTCAGTGCCTCCCATCCGCCGCCAAAGTGAAGGGCGTTGAGCTGGAAAGTGAATTGACGAGATGCGACGGGCACCAAGCTGTTAATGGCTGTGGGGTCCTTGAAGTAATACAGGAGCGCCGGGAAGGCGTTAGCATCTGTGTTGTTCTCGAAGAAGTCGGTGGTCAAAGAAAGGACCTCTTCGGCCTTGTCCTCACCCCAGGCGATAGTGGCAATGTATGCCAAGCCGGGATCCGGGTATGCTTGGATGTAGAAGTTGGTGATTACACCAAAGCCGAGCCAACCTCCGCCAGTAGCAGCCCAGAAGAGGTCCTTGTGTTCATTGTAGGGGTTGGCATATATAATGCTTCCGTTGGTAAGAACCACCTCGAGGCCCATGAGACTGTCTGCAGCAACGCCATACTTGCCAGTCTGGAAAGCAATTCCTCCGCCAAGCAAGAAGCCACCGACACCGATAGATGCCGCGCGAGGTCCTAGAAAGGCCCAGCCCGAGCCTTCGAGTGTGGAGAAGACGGTTCCAGCTTCCGAGCCACCGCCAACCTTGAGAATAGGCCATTCGGTAGAATTATTTTTGCTGTGGATGATTTCGGTCTTGTTGATGAAGCGAAGATCAATGACTACACTGGGCGACTGAGCACCGCCCGTATCCAAATGGCCGCCGCCCATGACAGCAAATCCATCTTTCCAAAGGGTGTTTGCGTGCGAGTAGAATTGCATAATCTTACTCACGTGCTCGGCGCTGGAGGGGAATACGATTGCATCAGGGAAGATTTTGTTTTGCTCCGTCCATATCTGTCAACCAAGATTAGCATACCAGTCAATAGTTCCATGTGATGTGGAGAATTTCGTACTCTGCTGATAGTCTCGCCGTATCTGAGGTCGCCCGATCGCGTCACTGAAGCATCTTTGCCCAATGCACCCGCCAGAGCTGCGAGGGCATCGTCCTTGGTCTTGAAGCTCTCAGCGTTGAAAGCGGTTTTCGGTGTCGAAGGAACAGCAGAGTCAAACTTTCTCTGTTGCCATGCTGTTTTTGCATCAGCAACAGGCAGAACAGCGAGCAGAGCGGACGCAAGCGATTTCCACAGCATCGTGAAAGAAGAGAGAGAATGTCCTGATGGTACTGTCGATTCCTCAGCAGCGGATCTGCTCTACTTAAAGTGCAGAGCAGGCCGTCTAGACAATTGAACTGACTCGCCGCCTAACTGCCGCTCCCTATAGGCGTGCAAGGAGATTATCGTGTCAATGAGCCTGTCCAGCTGCCAGTTAGTACACTGTATCGAGTCTAAGCAACTCCGATATTTACCCATCTCCCGTCGCACAACACTAAAGAATAACTATCCAACGTAGTGCTATGTCCGGGCCGATACCACCCCTCACGCCTTACTCAAACTGGCTTGTTCTTGCCTATTTCCGCCAACTATAAGCGATAGATTAAGGTAATATGAACTTCGGTTAACTGGGCTCGCTGGTTTTATTGGTGTTGCTCCTAACTATTCCTTGAGGTTGCGTAGACACCTGTCAAAGGCCCACTTTTGATAGCCATATTTCATCCATGGTTGTAGAGCCGTAGAATGTTAGACCGTTCATACAAGCAACTGCCCAGAGCGATGTGCCGTGCCGCAGCCGCCACTTGCCGCATAGAGTATCACATATGAAAGCGGACCGACCTTGTACCGAAGAGACGCCAATGTACCGGTTGGCATTGAAACAACTGACTCCTAGTTATGCGGGATAAAGAGTTTTGTGAAACCATCAAAGTACCCCTGAAGGGAGCTAGAATAATGGTCTCGTCCGCATGCTGTCGGCCAATCTTATCAAATTTTGAGAAGAGCGCAGATGCTACCAAAGAGGGCAGAAAAGCGCTATATAAATGCAATGGATCCATGAGTTGTGACTCATAAGCTTTGCATCCGCTACGGTGCCATAATTGTCCAATTGAAGATTGTATACTTGTTTGCTCCAAGAAAATGATTGACCAAACTAAGAGCTATACCATCAAACCGAGGGTCTTGTACCTTGGGGTTCCCAAGCATCAGTCTAGCAGGATCCGCGATCAATATTCTGAATTGTTCGATATCGATGTATGTCAGGAAGTCTCGTTGGTAGACTCTCGACTGACTGTAGTGCGCAGATTCTTGATGTGTCCACCAGAGCAGAGGCACTCGAGGACATCCCCAGGATCGTGGCCTCCCGTGGCCCGTATCAGTGCTTAGTCTGCCGGCTTGGGCCTCAGCCGTTTGAGCCATTTGACTCTCAACTTCTGGGTCCTCTCCTGCCAGATCTTCGCATCGTGGTGTCGGCGCAGAGTGGCTTTGACGACTTTCACGTGGACTGGATGACGAGGCAAGGCATCTGGTTCTGTAACACCCGACATGCCATGGTCGAGTCCACCGCAGAAATGGCTCTTTTTCTCATCATGGCGGTGAGCCGCAACACGAGTCGTGCCGAACAGAGTCTGCGTTCAGGAATGTGGCGAGGCCGGCTGCCGCTCTCTCGGGATTTGAGATCGACCACTCTGGGTATCGTAGGAATGGGCAGCATTGGCGCATGTCTAGCACGCAAAGCCGTGGCCCTGGGCATGCAGGTCAGATATCACAACAGAAGTGGTAAAGCGGCGGGTAACAAAGCCCCAGCCGGTTCGGTATGTTGTGCGACTCTAGACGAGCTCCTGCAGACTTCGGACATTATCTCGCTTCATTGCCCGCTAACTCCCGGGACTCGGCATTTGATGAGCGACAAACAGTTTCAGATGATGAAGGATGGCTCGTATCTTATCAACACTGCCCGAGGCGGTGTCGTGGATAGCCAGGCACTGATTCGGGCTTTGGAGAAAGGCAAGCTTGCCGGGGCAGGACTCGACGTGTTCGAGAATGAGCCGACAGGCATCGACCCGTATTTTCTGGAGAGCGACAAGGTGGTGCCTATTCCGCACATGGGAGGACTGACGGAAGGTTCATTCGAAATCGCCGAGCAGGAGTGCTTGACGAACTTGCAAGAGTATTTCAGCAAGGGACGGCCATTTGCACCGCTCAACTTTGTCAATCCGCCGGTGCACAGTGTTTCGTCTTTGCCGTATCTCACGATTCAGTCAATCTCTGTGTAACTTAGTTTCTTTCACTATCCAAGTAGAATTCAACAATTGTTTCCATCTGCCGAGATTGCATCCACGGAATTTGATCGGGTACATTATTTTGGGGGTGGATATTGGCCGATAGTCAACTGAATCTGAATTGCGTTGACGACGCCCATGTTAGTAGAATCTACAGACATGATGGGCTACGCGAGCGGTACAGTCTGTAGCATCGAATAGTGTCACTTTTGAGCAAAAACCACGCACATGAAATGGGGGGTTTAACGCGAGGAACTCCTTTAAAGGGAATAGACAGACAACCCCGCCCGCCGTACCAAGAGTTAGGGCGCAGATAAAGGCGAAACACTTGCAGTAAAACGTCACAGATAGTGTACATAGACTCGTCGTTTATCGGCTTATTTGCAGCGACGCAGGGTCTTCCATTACTCGTACAGAAATGCTACGTGCCCTTTCCCTTTCTGACACTATGAATGGGTTACTGCAGCTAGGTACTAGACCCTTTAATCTATGTTGATCAAGCATGGATCATGGCGATTCTATACATGCGCTATAGCTTTATTTTTACTAGCTCCGCATACGATCATTAACTGCCGTGCTATAAGTTGGTAATAGGAGGAATTGCGCATCATCCGCCGCGGCCCTATTCTACTTAAGCTGACCGGGGCTGAAGAGAATGGCTGCGATGACCCGGGCGCCATTTACGAGTGCACCATAGAGACAATATGCGGGTGCACTTCGGGGTGCCATTAGCGCTATTGTCAGAGAGTAGGTAGTAGTGGTACCATGTCAGTTATCAGATCCCTTGTATACCGTGTAGTTGCCTTGGTGCATAATGATTCGGTGCGCATGTTTGGTCTTGAGCGGGTTTGGATAGTTGGACTATGTAGAAACAGTCTATCGCAGATAAAAAGCCTGCGGAATACTCCGCCTTCGCTGATATTACGCCGGAGCATGCGCAGGCAGAGGTTACTCGCACAAGTCAAAGAGCCCTTCTGCATTCATACCTGTCGCCGTGCGCTGCTCAAGACCTTGTTTCGTACATTGAATATCTTTTTTTGCTTGTACGATTTTGTTGATTTACTCGGGAGACATGGCCATCGCACAGGAGATTCTCTTTGCAAATATCGATCAATTGATACGGCATCGTGCAAAGACGCATGCCGATAAGCCGATTCTCTCCTATGCAGATGAGAGCGGCGATTTTCAAAAGTATACCGGGGCTGACGTGGAGCGATTGACCAGAATTGCAGCGACGGCATATCGCAGAGCGCTTCCTGGCAAGGATGGGCTGTTCAGGGTTGCTCTGGTGGGAGTGTCAAGTTTGGAGTATTACATTGCATTCTTCGCATTGCAGCGTATGGGCTTGACGTCCATGTTCATATCTCCACGGCTCGCAGACCAAGGGTATGCCCATCTCCTGGCCGCCACTGGATGCCAGGTGGTGATTGCAGGAGAAGCGTCTATGAAGACGATTGAACGGGTTCGCGAGACGAGTGGCTCGCCAGCCATTATCATACCGCTCCTGGATATGAAGGCGCTGTCCGATGCAGGGCCTGTGGATGAGCGGTTGTTGCCTGTACCGGCTGGCAGCCAACAGGAGTTCATCATCCACAGCGGCGGTACGACGGGCTTGCCAAAGCCGGTAGTGCTCTCTCCAAGCGCGTGGCTGGCACAAGCAGCTGCAGTGGCGGCACGCATGCCGCGCGCCGATACTTTGACGACACTGCCTTTGTTCCACAGTTTTGGCCTGGCCACGTTACTCCGCTGTCTGGTGAACGGCACGACGCTCGCGATTCTGAACGCAAACCGGCCGATAACGGCATCCATCATCAATTCGGCAATCGAGTGCACATGGTCCAGGGCGCTGGTGACGGTTCCATGTAAGTGATACTTGGCCCTTTGCGCGGCTACTTGGTTCAATGTACTGAGCAATGGACTGTTAGACATTCTGAAATTCTTCACCGAGATTCCCGGCGGTGTCGCGCGACTGGCCAGTCTGACCCAAGTCATCGCCGCTGGGTCGGCCATTCCCAACGACCTCGCAGAAGTGCTGCTGGCCGAGAAGGCGCGCGTCTACCATCTGTACGGCTTGACTGAAGCAGGAGCGCTGATGGAAGCATGGGCGACGGATTTCCGGTGGGTGACTCCGCTGGCGCACGCCGCGCCCTTTTTGAAGTTTGAGCCTGTGGGCGATGGCTGCTTCCACCTGGTGGTGATGCCGGGGCTTCCCGCCAAGGTGTACTCGAACCGCGAGGATGGCTCGTACGCGACCAAAGACGTGTTTCGGCCGCATCCGACGGAGCCGGGCATCTGGCGCTTCGTGGCCCGGCAGGACGACCTGATTGTGCTGATGAACGGCGAAAAGGCGGACCCCACGCCGCTGGAGGAGGCCGTGTCGCGGAACCCCAACGTGCGAGCAGCCGTCGTGTTTGGGGCGGAGCGGGACTCGCTGGGCATGGTGGTGGTGGCGTCGGAGGCTGCCAAGGCGCTGAGTCAGCAGGCGCTGCTGGACAGCCTCGCCGCCAACGTCGCCGTGGGCAACTCGCGCGTGCCGGCGTATGCGCGCATCTCGCACGACGCCCTCATCCTCAAGCCCGCCGGCACGCCCTTCCCCTGCACCGACAAGGCCACCATCATCAAGCCGCGCTTCCTGCAGACGTTTGCTGCCGACATCGACGCCCACTATGAGGCTCGCGCACGCGCGACGACGGCCGCGCCCGACGTGCCCGACGACGACGTCGCATCCGTAGTCGGCCACGTCGTCGCCACGGCGCTGGGCCTGCCCGCCCTCGACGACGACGATGCCGACTTCTTCGCGCTGGGCATGGACTCGCTGCAGGCCTCCAACGTGCGGTCCGGCCTGGTCAGGAGCGTCAGCCTGCGCGGCGCCACGCTCGCCACCAACGTCGTCTTCGAACATGCCACCGTCACGCTCCTGACGCGCCATGTGCTCGACCTCCGACGCGGCCTCTCCACCCAGCAGGACTCGCCCGAGGCGCTCGCCCTCGAGCTGGTGGCCAAGTACTCGCACTTCGCCCCCTCTCCGCCCGGCGAGCTCACGGGCGGGCCGGCTTGCGTGCTGCTCACGGGCGCCACGGGCGCAGTCGGCTCCCACTTGCTGCACCAGCTCGTCACCGACCCGGCCGTCGCCCAAATCTACTGTCCTGTCCGCGCCGCAGACACGCCCACAGCACACGCGCGCATCCACGAGGCCCTCGACCGCGCCCGCCTCCTCGCCCGCCTCGACCCCGCAGCCCACCTCTCCAAAGTCGTCGCCGTCCCCTGCGACTTTGCCGCGCCCAATCTCGCCCTCCCTGCGAGCCTGGTCGCTCACTTCTCCTCGGCCCTCACGCACATCGTCCACAACGCCTGGTCCGTCAACTTCAACCACTCGCTCCGCAGCTTTGAGCCGCACTCCCTTCGCTCGACCCACTTCCTCCTCACCCTCGCTGCCGAGTCTCTCCGCTCCCCCAAGCCCACCGTGACCTTTGTCTCCAGCATCGCCGCCGCCCTGTGTGCCGAGCCTGCCCATGCCATCCCCGAGACGCTACACCCCTGGTCCGCCGTCGCCGGAATGGGCTACGCACAGAGCAAGTGGGTTGCTGAGCACATGGTCGCTGCTGCCGTTGAGAAGGCCCAAGTCCCGGCTCGCGTCGTGAGGCTGGGGCAGGTGTGTGGCGACACCGAGTGGGGCATGTGGAACGCGACCGAGGCATTCCCGACCACAGTACAGGCCGCCTGTACGATTGGAGCCTTGCCAGTGGTCGAGGGTGACCATGACGACGAGGAGGAGAGCTGGTTGCCTGTGGATGTGGCGGCAAAGGCGTTGGCGCAGGTGGCGTTGGCGCCTCAGCAGATGGAGAAGACGTTGCATGTGCTGCATCTTGTCAACGAGGCACCCATCCTCTGGAATGCGCAGTTCTTGCCATGCTTGAGAAAACACGGTCTGGAGTTCGAGGCGGTGCCGCAGAGAGAATGGGTCTGTAGGCTAGAAGCCTCAGAGCAGGATGTGCAAGCCAACCCGCCTTTCAAGCTGCTCAGCTTCTTCAAGGAAAGATATGGATCCGCCCAGGGAGCCTCGCAGCCAAGGTTCGACACCACTCAGGCAAGACAATGGGCGCCTTGCCTGCAAGGCGGAGTGGACATTAGCGAGGACCTGGTTGGGAAATTTCTCCGATACTGGACCGCGGAAGCGTGGGTGACCAAGTCTGAGGCCAGACTGTGAGACAGCCGTCTCGTGCAAGTATTACATAGATTGTCAGCATTGGTAAATCCGTCGCTGAGTGTTCGCCGTTCAAAATAGCTACCTCCTCTTTTACGCCGCTGTGCTCCATCTACAGCAAAAGCACTATGAACCCGTTGTTTAGCCCAGTAACCAGTGTCTGTTTTCTTGTTAGCAAACAGCTCTCCAGCTGACTTGGCTGACGAATACGTCGCTCGCGATGCCAAGACTCTATCAATACCCACAACTCAAGACTGCATAGCAAACCCCAGGATAGTAGGTGGACATTGTACAAGTCAGTCAGTTTTGTTGGACTCAAATGCCGTGAATCACTTGCAGGTCCGCGTATTGTCATTGGTCTCACTGCAGTATCCACAACGTCTTATCATAGCTTCCTCACGTCTGATCTGAGCATTGTCATGAATTTGTTTAGTTTCCATGAGCGATTTGAACTTGTCGGCGCAGCGAATCTGACAACGCAGACACTGTCACCAATATTTACACTCTTCACCGCGCTCACCTCGGTAGGTTTGATAAGAATATGTACAGGAAGAGAATACCGACAAGGTATGGAAGAGGTGGTAGAGTAAAGTAAAGGTACGCCACAGGAAAAGCGCTTAGACTGTAGGCCACCCGTCTGAAAAGTGGAGCCTATTAACACCGAATTGCTTCTGGCTATCAGCAAAGCCAATGCGGGTGTCGACGTAGTGGTAATACAGCACAGGGCCTAGCTGAGGATCGTAGTAGACACCCTGGCCACCAGGCCCATAGACCCAGCCATGAGACTCCAAGACGGTAGTGCCACCGCCGCGGGTGCAGTCGACGCCGTTCTTGTCGACAAACCCACCAGTGGCGCTGGTGGACCTGCACACCTGGATCTTGTACTCTTGGCCAGGGGCCGATATCTTACTGTCAAAGGCACAGCACTGGCCGACGGAGAAGAAGAGGTAGTGGTAGTTGCCGTTCTTGGCAATGTAAGGGGCTTCCTGCGCATGGGTACCTTCAGGCTTAAAGGCAATGTTCGAGGTCGACGACGTAGCCTTGAACGGCGGGTTGGCCATGTGGACCGAGAAAATGTCGCCCCAGAAGGATCCAAACGTCATGACGAATTTGGTACCATCCCAGTAAAGCGCTCCATCGATGGCGTTGTATTTCTTGTCGGCACTGGAATGGATCCCCGTGCTGCCGTGGTCGGTCCAGCTGTCGAGGTCTTTGCTAGTGGCCACTCCGATGGTTGATTCCTGTTTGCCAAAGGTAGACACGGAGTAGTAGAGGTAGTACGTGTCGCCCACGAGCGTGACATCGGGAGCCCACAGGTCGTTTCTGCCAGGCAAGTTGATCTTGGACCCGGCCGGTATAGCAGCGCCCTTGTAGGTCCAAGGTCCGGTGATTGAGGGCGCAGTGTGGACCGCAATCTTACCGCCAGTCGAGAAACGGAAGTATGTACCATCGGCGCGGCGGATCAGGGCTGGGTCGTGAGCATTGTTACAGACGCCGGTACACGCCATAGGGTAGGCATAGCCCGATACAGCTGTTGCTGCGGAAAGCAGGCAAGTCACGAGAGAGTAGCGCATCCTGGTGGCCGACGTGAAGAAGGAAGGGCAGAAAGGGATTGAGCAAGCAAAGGCTGAGGGTTGCGAATTCGACAGGCGTTCGGGTATAAGACATATATATATGTATGTGTTGATATGGCACTATGTCGGTATGATACCGCTACTTCCTTAGCATCCTGAGAGGCGAGCCGCCGGGGCGCAACTTGGCGTAAAGAATGAGTGGAAAAACAGGGGTTTGCCAATGGTTGGTGGCGGGGGTTGTGAATGGCGGAAACGGAGCCATGGATGCGTCCAAGGGGCTAGTACGGAGAATTTAGACGATGGGTTGAGGGGTAGGGGCGGATTTATATGCGCTCTGTGCTGCTGGTCCGTCTGTGAATGACGGCATTGTCACCAAGCAGAAGTCGATGCATGCGATCCGATAGGCGTAGACAACGGAGGCCCCGCAACGGGGTGCCAGGTTGGAAATTGGGTCAGGACGCAGAGAGGGACGCACATGGCGACGGCGGACATGAAGGCTGTGTCATGAAACACTGACACAGACGCAAACACATGACCAAGCGCTCGCCTCGCGGCGAGCGACGGCAAGGCGTCCTGGACACGGCAATGGTTAAACAACCCACCACTAATAGCTATCTTACCCACCTTAAAGCCAAGGTCTGCATTAAGGGCGCGGCATCTAAACTTTATAGAGTTAGCACTATCATTAAATAACTTAGCTCTTTTTTTATAACTTACTAAGTAGCTAGATAAAACTTATCTAGTATAAAGCGCTAGTATCATATTTTAGGCAAGGTAGATAGCCTTTAAGCTATCTTAACTTATACTATATAGCGCATAGAAATTATTAGAATATACTAAAAACTCTATTAATTTTACTTTTTATTATATCACTTACTACTTATAATACTATTTCATTGAATAGAACTACTTAGTAGCTAATTTACTATATGATTAAGTTGAAGTTTAATAGAAATAAGTTAGTTTAGAAGAGCTATACTAATTCTAAGTAAGAACTAAAGTTATTAAGTAACGCCTTTACTTATAAAGCTACTCTCTATAAAGCTCCTTTTTATAAAGCTACTTTCTTTAATGTTATAGCCTATGAAGCTATAGCCTATAAAGTTATATAGCCTAAGCCTTTATACTATAAGTAAAGTACCAAGTATACACTACGCTAATTAAATTATAGTAAGCTCTATAGTATTAAAGTGTTTAATATCAATAGTTTGTAAAAGGCCTTACTTATTCATTATAAGTACTTACTACTACTAGAAGTTTTATATAATAGCTATAATAAAGCTTTTAATATTGTTAATAAGTAGGCTGAAGACTATAGTGTTACGTATAATTAATATAAGAGACGTAGTAAGCTAGTAATTTAAGTTATGAATATATTATAACTAATAAGGCTTACTATACTTAAGTAAAAAGGTAGTAAAACTAAGATTATAGTAAAGTGTATTATTATAAAAGATAAATTATAAAATAAGATTTTAGTTACTTATAAAGGACTTCATAAAACTAAAGAGTTAGTAAAAAGTTCCATTATAAAAAAATTGAAAAAAGCTTTAATTACAATTACTTACTAGTTGAAGAAAAATTTATATTTACTTAGTACTAAAGAGTAACTTATAAAGCATTACTGAAAAAGAGGTTAAAAGAAATTTACATAGTATTATAAGGTTTAAACTATATACTATAAATAGTACGCACTAAGATCTTGACAATTAAACTAACGTAATAGAATATTGAGAACTGAATTATAGTATACTACTATTGAAAATTAGGTTTTAATATAAAAACTAAGTTACTTTTAAAGCAGTTAAAGTAAGAAAAGTATTAGTTTTAGTAAGTCTCTATTACTAGATTATTGTAGTATTATAAGACATCTACTAATTTTAGTGTATATAAACTTAAAAATAGTTTATAGATATTATGTTATTAGCTTAAATACTTACGCTAATAACTTACTACTTATTAGTAAGGAAATCAAAATATTCTAATAAATCACTCAGTATAAGATTAATATAAAGAACTATATCATACACCTTTTCTTTATATATTTACGCTACCTTAAAAACTATGAAAAGTTACGAAATACGCTTATTATTAACTATATATATAAGATCAATAAATACTACTTTCCTTTACTTAATCTTAAAAGTTTGAATAGTTATAACTATATAACATATCTTAGTATTACGCTTATTTACTATTAAAATAAAGCTTTGTTTACTTAGGTACTATACTACCTTTAAGCTCTATTTAAGTTAGAGAAAATTACTATATGCATATATCTAAGTAATTAAGATCAAGCTTTCTTAAATACTTCTAGAGATATCTTTAATTAACTTAAAATTATACTTTATTAAAAACACCTTAATAAGAGTTTTTTACGCTATCTTTAGCTTAAGTTATTTGCTAAATTTAGTTATAATTAAGTTAGTAATAAGTAGGTAGGTAGTAAAGAAACTACTAAGTTCTTCAAATTTTATTTTTACTTTTTTAGCTTAATATTTGAAGCTAATTATAATAGGAACTTAGTAGCCTATAAGTAGTAATTAAAGGTTATAACTACTTACTTAAAGTAGCACTAGCTAGATAGTTACTATAATAAGTTAGTAAGTTATTATGTTCATTATGATACTTACCTTAGCCTTACTATTACTAATAAAGCTAAGGGTGCTTATTACGTTATTAAGTAATAAATATAAGGCTCTAGTGTTAATATTTTAACTTTTTTTAACGTTTTTATAGCTTTTATTTTTTTTATAGTATTACTAATAATCTTACTAACGTATTCCATCACCGAGCGGGCCACATCACCGAGTGTGCCACTTTTTCTTGGCATCACGAACTTCATGTACGAAAACTTAGATTACTCTACACTAGCTATAGATGCTTCGTACGACTTACTTGTATCTAAAAGAGAATCTTCTTCTACATCTTTCTGGCACGTACAAGAGTTATGGCCTGTCCTCCCACAGGTTCTACAGTGCCGTTGACCTAGTAGGGCCCTTTCTTGACTACCCTCACCACGTGCCTTCTTTGATGTCGTACGACCAGCAGAACTACTTTCAGCTACCTGCGATGCCCCTGCACCAAAGTCTAGTGTCCCACCTGTCTGAATTCGCTTTCTTTTGCGCCCTCGGCGCTTTGTTACTGCTGCTAATTGCTCTTCAAGCTCTCTTACGCGGGCCTTTATAAGCACATTCTCATATAGCATCTCCTTAGCCCCTTTAATAAGCTTTAAAAAG